CTAGGATGTGTTTTGAACTTGGCTAGTTAAGGGATTTAGAATCGTGGTGAGACGAGTGATGGGGTTATACAAGGGACGATTCTGATTTGTGTTGCCTGAATTGTCTGATTCACTTTGATGTGATAGCAATTTAGTTAGTACCTGTTATTTACCGATAGTGAGAAGTTTTGAAATTAATCTTGCTCACTATGCTATTAGGACCTTGTTTGAAACTTGGTCCCTTGTGAAAGTATGCTTGATTTTGGTTGTGGCAGGATGAATAAGGCCTTCCACATTAGGTCTGTTTGTTTGAGTATTCGTCTGGGCATTCATACATGAATGCAAACATGGACATACATGAGCATATACATGGGCATTCATGCATGCACACATGAGCATTCATACATGCATGCATAAAGGCATTCATTCATACATGCATATGCGTGCATTCATCCGTTCATGATTTTGTACATCCGAGTGATGTTTATCCGTCTCGGATAGGGTTCCATCGTTTAGTTGGATTGATCGTTAGATTCCTTGTTATGTGGTTGTGTTTGATGAGTGCCGAGTCTTGATGTGTGCCGGACCTTGATTTGAGTCAAGGGCACCACATAATCACACCGATAACCCCCAAGTGTAGTTACTTGTGTTAAGGTGTGAAGTTATCTCCCGCCTCCCAAATAGCCATTAGAGAGGGTGGAGATTGAGATTGTTGTTGGCTTGTTAGGGCAGTGATGAGTAGTGAATCTGATTGTTGTATCTTTGTGATTGTTAGCCCTGTATCTTGTGATTGATTTCCTTGTGATAGTTGTGTTTGATATCAGAGTAGTGCAGCGGAAGCGTAGTAGGCTATATTCTGACCATAGAAAGTCGATGGGGCATCTGTTTTGTCTTTGATTGTGTGAAGTCATTCACCAATCTAGACGATCCTAGATTTGAGTTTTGGGGACAAAACTCCTTTTTAGGAGGGGTGGATGTAATATCCCAAAATTTTGGGGTATTTTAGCATTAAATTGAGGGGCTTAATAGTCAAATTTTAAAAAGGTCAGGGACTAAAAAGAAAGGAAATTAGGATAAGGATCAAGGCTGATATTTTTGTCCTCAGCCACGTGTTTTGCTTTTCTTCATCCTCATCTTTTTCTTCTCCCCGATGCTCTGCCTCCCCGACCAGCCCCCCCAAGCCACCGACTCTCCCCCTTGAAAACCCGGTGAGATCTTGATGAAATTTCTCTTCTTTTCTTGTTAAATCACAAGATTTGGGGCTTAGAATCTTCCCTCTCAACCCAGAAATCCCGGATCTGCTCTGCTTCTTCCTCCCTTGTCCGTCGGGTTCTACTAGGTTTGAATCCTTCGGCTTTTTCTGGTAAGAAGCAGCCTTGAATTCATCCTTTCTCTCTTCATTTGGCTTGGGTTACTCTAATTTTGTTATTGGTTCTTGAATTTCTGGGGTTTGCCGTGAGTTTTCCCCTAGATCCCGTCGGCTTCCTCACCAGCCAAGCTCGGGTTCTGCTGGCTGGAATTCTGGTAAGTTGCCGGCTTTTCCAAGCTTAAAATGACCCATTTAATGGCTGGGTTTTGTCCATTAGTTGATTATCTGTGTTGTCCGAGATTGTGCTAGAATTATGGGATGATTTTGGGTAGCATAAAACATGTTTTAAGCTTGGTTGAGGTAGAAATTTCTTGATTTAGTTGCTGTGTGGTTTATAGGGAGAAGATCCCGTGTGTGTGAGTTGTGGTTTGCCAAGCCATGCTCTCCATGTGTTGCCCGTGAGTAAATGAGAGAATTTGATGTTGGTATTATGGGGGTTAAGTACCAGCTATTGGGAAAGGATTAAATGTGTTGTTTTAGATGGGTATTAATTTTGGGAAATGTTTTGATTAGGTACTGATTATTCTGCACTCTAGCACTTGGG